GGCGGGGGGAGGGGGGTGCTCTATGTGTAACGCCCCCTGCGCCCTCCCGCTTTCATCGCCGCCCCGGAAGCAGGCCATCTTCGCACAACATTGCCGCCCGAAGGTAGGCCATTTTCATTACGTAACGTGCTGTGTTCAGCCCACGTGGCACCACGTGGCGGGGCGGGGCGGGGCCCCGGGGCGTGCGTAACGAGGCGCCCACCACCGCGCCCCTTACAGCCCCGGGCCGGCCCTGCCCCGCCCCGCCGCGCCTGGACTCGATGGCGATGGCATTGGATAATGTTGTGGACACTGCTGCGGGGCGGGGGGAGGGGGGGGGAGCGACCTTCGGGACGAGACACGTTCATGACGGTAACGTGACATACCGCGACCCGCCCCCGACGTCGCCGATGATTAATCAGGCAGACGAGAAATGCTCGACTAAAAGAAGGGCAGACCTTCCTGAGGAGGAAGTTTGTTTATTGAAAAGGAAATGGCGGGCACACACACACACACACGCACGCACACGCGCATGCTGGCCCGATACACCCTGGCGGCCGGAAGGCGTACGGCACGGCGGGTAGATTCCCCCGGTGCGGTGGGGAGGGGGGGGGGCAGACGCGCGTGGGTCTGGGGGGGACACAAGGTGTGTGCTGTTGGGGAAAGGTGTGGGGCGGGGCCCTGCGGGGGAGGGCCCACTCTCCTCTCAGCTGTTTGGGCACGGCCCCAGCCGCAGGGGGATGACGGTGAGCTCTTGGGGAGGCTGCGCGGCTGAATCGGCCGAGCCGCGCGCGACGCGTCGTGCCGCGCCATATGACACGACACGCGACACGCACATCTTCAACTCCAACGAGGGCTGTAACGACGCGTCGCACCCCTGCGACATACTCACTTGTCTGGCCAGGGAATGGCGAGGTATTGGTTCCACCAGCGGGCAGCGACGTACGCCACGTAAAAGCCCAGCACGAAGGACAATGGAATGAGGTTGATGAAGGTGTCGCAGTACACGACCACCTTCTCGAAGAGCCTGCAAACACAGAGGGATCAATGTCTCCCGCCGTACTTGAACAGGATATGGTTGTTGTTGTGGTGGTGGTGGTAGTCCTAGACAGTCCCAGCAGTCCCTCTAAGTGGTCTCCTCTCGCGACCTGGCCCAGGCAGGGCCAGACCGGGCCAGACCGATATGGGTGGGACGCGTCAGCGCTCAGTGGTTTTTATGGCCATGTCAAGAGGGCGTGCAGACAGTGCGGGTGGCCCGCGGGTCCGGCTGCTGCCAAGCCCGTTGGCACGCAGTGTTTATCGTCAGAATTTGTGCAACGTCTGCAGTCTTCGTGCACACGCCGCAAACGGCCACGCTAGAAAAGGGAAGCATGCCCGACGACCCGTAATGAGCGTCCCCTCTGGGGAGGAGGTGGCGTGTGGCGTGCATGTGGCAAGGGCAGCGCTGTCCCGTGGGGCACGGCAAAGCGCATAGCAGTCGTCAAGCGCAACAGGTAGGTGGTCGTTTGCGTCGTCTTCCAGTAATACCCAGGCGAACTCACCGTTTCTGATCCACGGTGAAGAGGTTTCTGTAGAGAGCGCTGAGGATGCCGAAGGCCAGCAGGAAGAGCAGCAGCTCGCGGTAGATGAGCTTGTACAGGGAGCCCCTCCACATGAAGAGGAGGCGGGTGAAGCCCCCCGAGGTGGAGGAGGCCACCTCATACTGGTAGCTCACAGTCATACTACGCTACGCCAGTAACGCGGACGAGTCGCCCCGTCGCCCGGCGACACCAAGCAAGCCAATGGCGAGACCCTAGCGGCCAGGCCGGGGTCATCGTGTCCACCCGCGGAGCCCGCGGCCAGTCTCTCCGCTCTGCCTCCGCGCCACGACAATCCGCGCCCGCGCCGTCTCCACCGTCCGGAACATCTTGTCGTCCAACTCGTCGCCGTCGCCGCGCAGGTCGTGGGGGAGCGTTCAGATGTCCGCGGCGTCGCCCTGAGGAGCCTCGTTGCACTGGACGGCCTGGGCTGGACCAGGCTGGACCCTCGGCGCTCACAGCGCGCATGGCCTGACGCGGGGCCGGACGCGCACATCGGCGTGCAGCATGGCCAGGATGGGGTGGCTCGCGCACCGCGGCCGGGGAGGGACTGGCGGGCGGGGCAGGGCAGAGGGAGCAGAACCCCTCACTCCTTCGCGACTAGCCGCCGCCGCAGCGCCCCGCCGCGGGGCCCGCTCCACCCCGCCACCGCGCCTGCCCCTCGGACCGCGGCAGCCGCCCCGCCCCACCCCGCCACGCCGGCGAGTGGCGGGAAGTGGGAGAGCTAACCCTAGCGGCGCGGCGAGGCAGCCAGCGCAGCCGCGCAGCCCTCGCGGCGGGCGTGGGACAGAAACACATCAGCACACGTAGAAATACCGAAATAAATACCGCGGGTCAGGCGAGGCGCGGGCCCGAGCGAGCACCCGCCACGGCCGGCACCGCTGGGGGACACCGCGCCTGCCGCGGTGCGACGCGCTCGGGGCGCCACCGCGATCAGGCAGGGCGTCGGCGTGATGGCCTCGCCCCCGCGGCCCGCGGGTGGGGAGAGGAGCGGGCGGGAAGGCGCGACGGGGTGACAATGGTTCCGCGCACACCCCGCTGCATTATAAGGTCCAGTCGACACAATACATGATCCCTTGAAGGGGAGTGCTCGTGTCCCTCCTGCTCCGAGAATGTGTTTGCCGTTGTTTAGTGCACTTGTGGAGGTTCTGTCACTTTATACGTTGATTGACAGCATGACAGATGGCAGTAACATGTTACGCCACTTGTTGACAACATCAGCGAAAAACAGACAATTCTTAGGTTGCTGGGTTAGCTGTGAGGTGTCATCCTCCTGTCAAGCATGTGCACATTACAACCCTATATATTGGTTCCTCCAATTTCTTCAGACTCAAAATAATAACAATATGTTGGAATATAACAAATTTATTTACTAAATGTGACAGATTTTTCGTTCATATATGATCAATTGTATTCTAGTTTTGGCTGCTCTTTCATCCATTCATCGTCATTCACAATATTTTCATCATCGGTAAATACATCAGACCCCAACTTCAGATGTGCATTTCTTGCTTCTTCAGCAGTCAAAAGTTCTTCTTCACTTGGCTCAAGAGGAGAGCCATCTTCATTGAGTCTGCCTTCATTGAAATCTCGTTCAATCTTGCTACCATAAACTACATGAAACAAGTCCTTAGCGGTGAATGCTGCTTCTTCAGTATCAGGTGCTCGATATGACACATATGGTTTCAGCTACAATGAAAAAACACAAAAGTAAAGTACAAGGAGGAAAAGAAATTAAAAATAATTGAAAAAAAGAAAAAGGGGACATTTTTTTACCTTAAAATCTGTGAGATCAGGGACTATTATCTCTGGAATCATCTCCGGAACAGCAACTAGGTTGTGATCCTTATCCCAGTATCCTGGTTCTCTGCCATATCCTTCATGAAAAGACCCAATGAGTGATTAACACTGATAATATAATTATTAAATAAATAAATTAAATAAATAAATAAATAAATGTTGGCACAGCTATTATTGTTGCAAAAGTAAATTTTAATACAACTTACGAAAACTAGGGAAGTCTGGGGATGGATTTTTTCGTTGCTGTTGGTTGAACTCTTCAGTACCCCGGTCAATGTAACCAAAATTCCGAAAGTTTTTCTTTGATTGTCCTTTCGATACGTAGGAAGTGGATATTCTTCTGTAGATCGGAGAAAACACAGAAGTTGGACAGTTTTGAATACAAATTTTCGCCGTGATGAACGCCATTATTGTTGTTGGATCCTGATCCTCTAGTAGAACTTTTCATACTTTTCTGTGGCTCTGTAGTTTGACCAACACATAATACTTCACACAAAATATCAATAGAAGACTTAAAATGTCTTTCAAAATTTATTGTACAGTACAAAAAATCAAATTCTCTAAGATTTAAAATTGTATATTTTAATCTTTTAAAGAAGCATATATTTCAGACTTAAATAATGTACTTTTTAGTTTGATGTTAACTAACATGTAAACATGGGTATTTGTTACAACATTACAAGACAAAAGTCTGAACCCTACAAAATGCCATAAACTTGCCTATCACGAAAAATTTGAATATTTTAACATGAGTTTAGGAGTTTTAAAAGCCTGAAGGTGGTTTAAACTACACTGTCATGCACTGTCCCCTTCATATTCTAATAATCTTTCTTGTTTTGTGTTGCTCATAACCACCAAGTAATCAGCTGGTTTCTCTCATACCCGTCAAAACAACAAAAATCTGTGTTTTGATTAGACTTTGCGAAAAAAAACAACAACCAAGAATGCTTGGTTAATTTTGCTTGTTGAGGCTGTCATTTGCAAGAGATAGGCTGACGCACATCAGAGAGCTCAGAAGAAATTGGAGAGATTCTGAAATTGTGTAGTCGATGCAAATGCAAAGTCGCCCGCATTTATGTTAGGCTTTCACAATGTCAGCAGAAACACCACTTGAGTCTGACCAAGTCCCTGGATATGTTGATGGATCTGCTCCCGAGTATGTCCTATACGAAGTGCTCAAAGATTTATGTTTGAACAATGCGAAGCACTTCGAATCTCATGACAATGAAACTGGACTAAGGTTGCATGGTGCATTCCTCGCGCTTATTGATCATGTTGAGACAGTCAAACCAGCAGTTGATTATGTTCGGAAAGAAGCTCCATCTTATGACTTTGATGAAAACACCCCTGGTAATGGTTATGCCAGCTTTGTGAGTGTCGTTGATGCCTGCATTCGCCATGGTGTCAAGCTTTGTAAGCAAGTTTGTATAAATCGTGATTCCTTCTTTTTTCGGGCCAGTTATTATATGCGGTAAGTTAACAGAAATCAAAAAAAGCCTATTAATGATTCAGAGTTGCTTTAATATATTATGAATTGTTTGCTTCTTCTTTTTATATTAGGGAGGTAGAGGCATGTTCTCATCTCCTAGCATCATTGGTGACATGCCTTGCACACCTTCGACAGCTAATGGAATGGAGTGAACCAGGGGAACTTTTTCCATCCGGTGACCACTCACCTCAGGATCTTCTTGCTAAAGCAGAGAGTATAAACCAATATTGCTTTTATGGTCGTTGCCTTGGTTTCCAGGTACATAACTTCAACCTCAACTTAAAAGTATGATCTGATATATTTGTCTGTAATTAAAATAATCTTAATTTTGTTTACATTTTTTCAGTTTTGTGAATCTGTCCAGATTGTTCTGAAGGCTATCTCCATTGCAATGGCCTCATATAGTGACGTGTATTATGGTGAGGGAGGATTTGTTTCTCGAGCTACAAATACAGTTTGGAATGGTAAGCAGCTTATTTCAAAAAAAAAGAAAAGAAAAAAAATTGATTTTTATTTTTTAAACCTATTTAAGCTAGTGTACCTTTCAGGTGGTAAATATTTTATGGATCCTGAACTGAGAGCTCGTCGTATTGTGAACATTTCTCAGTACGCTGATGTTCAGTTCTGCAAGTCATTTTGGTTTCTGGCTGAGTCAGGTAAGGTGTTTCATGTACATTTAATGTGTAGGAAAAATATAATGATGTCTTTCCTGCTCAAAGGAATGTCTCAAGTTTATATCTGTCTCTATATGTTTGTTTTTGTGTTTTATTGTCATTATTAGAGGTCATGCAACGCCTTCCTATGATAGTATGTCCAGCTCTTGTTGTGAATAAGGTCATCTCCATACCTCCTGAGCCCCTGGAGCACACAAAACCTGATGGAAGTGTAATTCAAATTCCTATTCCCACTGTTCATATTGGTCCTCAGCCCTTGTTAGTCAGGCTGATGTCTGCTGTGTGGAGAGAGGGAATGGTATGTTATAGAGTAAAAATCTAAATCAAGAATCTATCTTGAAAGCAGATGATACAAATTTAAGAATAGGCCTGTGTTCTAATTTTCTCTCATGTTTAGGTGTCATTTGTTTATGGCTGCTTGTTATTATTTGCAATTTTGTAATTTGGCGTACTAGCGGCGGCAGAGCAGAGCGCGCGGGGACGGGGCCTGCTCCCTGCCCTGCCAGACGCAGTATTGTTAGGGGAAGGGGCCTGAAGCGACACTCAGTCAGACAGACAGCCACCCCACCCACTGATTCCCCTAGCGCCAAATAAATTGTTTTCTGGTCTCCGCTTACTTCTGTCCTCATCGAGAGTAAAAGCAAGCAGACACCTTAAAATTACTTTTATATTCTTTATATTTAGTCAAAAGGTTTTTAAGGTATCATCTGCTAAAAAGATCTTGACCTAATCAGCTCTTACTGATAGTATTGCTTCAGGATAGTTAAATTTACTAATACAATTTTTCCATTGTAATTGTTTGTTAGGTTGGAGAGGCTGCAGGTAAAACAGACACCAGACCACCATCGCCTGCCTTGATTTTTCATTGTCATGGTGGTGGGTTTGTTGCTCAAAGCTCAAGCTCACATGAGCCTTATCTGAGAGATTGGGCACGCAGACTTGGTGTCCCCATATTCTCAATCGACTACTCATTGGCTCCGGAAGCTCCATTTCCCAGGGCCTTGGATGAACTAGTTTATGCATATTGCTGGGCGCTCAAGAACTGCCATCTTTTGGGTTCCACAGCTCAGCGTGTGGTACTTGTTGGTTAGTTTCTTCCCTTTGAAATTGTTATTGTAAGTGAATGTGCTTAAACTGAACATACATCTTATATTTTATGTTAAGGCGATTCTGCTGGCGCAAACCTCAACATGGCGTTGGCTTTGAAGTGCATTGAGCTTGGTCTGCAGCCACCTGCCGGTTTATTTATGGCCTATGCTCCTGTATTGGTATCATTTGTACCATCACCATCTCGATTACTGTGTCTTATGGATCCATTATTACCATTTGGGTTCATGATGAGATGCCTTAAAGGTAAATCTGTTTATAAACAATAATTTTCAATTCTGCCCTACCTTAAATTTTCTTACTATCTTTAATCATACTTTTCTAGCATATGCAAGTCCCAAAGACACCCAAGGGAAACTCGTAAATAGTGGTGCAACATCTGTTGATGAGACACCCGAATTGGCTGAAATGGGTTCAACAGCAGCAAATGATGCAGTTGAAGCTGAAGCAGCCTTTGAAGCAGTTGAGGCCTGTTTTAGTACACAACCCAATGGAGTTCCAGCTACTGGCAGTGATACAGAATCTTTTGAAGAGGTGTCAGAGAGTGACCTGGCTGCTCTTGCTGCTTTATCTGTTGGGGGAATGACTGCTCGCCAGCTGCTTCAGCCAGAAGCTGATCAAATCACACCAATGGTTTGTACCTGGTAGTAAATTTAATTCTGGTGAATTAAATCGAACCTATGTCACTCATTGAGTTTATTAGATTCATAATATGAAGACAATTATCAATGAAACCTTGTTTTCTACGATAATAGCGATATGTCTTAGACATGGACATTGATTCGGAGGGGCATCAAATTCCTGTGTTACGTGCGTGTCCTGGAGAAGTTGCAGAGGAAAATGTAATTTTTCAAGTTGGACAAAGAGTGGATGGATATGGTTTCCAGGAGAGGTCTGACCCTTCTCTTTTTACGTTCTTCTTTATTTATCAATCTATCATTTATTATTTTTCTCATGTTTTTAAAAATGATATTTTCAGAGTGACTCAGATGGCAGACAGCTTAGCAAGTACAGTGTCAAGCTCATTCTCATCTCTCTTAGCTTCCAAGGCAAGCAGTCCAACAAATAGTAATGAATGTGACACTCCAAGGTAATACCAAAATACCAGAATTTTAGTAAAGGAGGAATCACATACAGCAGATTTAAAATGTATTGTTTTATCAAATATAAAATAATATTAATGCCCAAAGCAGGTCTACTTGGTCTCAATTGGATGCACTTATGCAGCGCAGCCCAACCGAAGAATTCCAGTTTTCTGTACCTCGAGATCCCTTCCTGTCTCCATACTGGGCTAGTGATGATGTTTTGAAACAACTTCCGCCTGTCAGTGTATTGGTAAGAAGTATTTGATGAATATTTTATTACATTTTCTTTACAAAATTATTATTATTTGGAATGTGAGTTTCTGTGATTGTCTCTGCAAGATTCATCTCAAGTGGTAATTTTCGTTCATTTTCCAGTCATCACAATTTGATCCTTGTTTGGATGATTGTGTCATGCTTGCAAAAAAGCTACGAGGGTTGGGAAATAATGTCACTTTAGACGTTTTGGAAGGACTTCCTCACGGTTTTCTCAATTTTAGTTTGGTAAGATATCTAGGAATTTAAGTTGTTTTCAAATTGGTGCAGTTTTTCTAGATTTGTGGTAAAATTAACTTTTTTATGTTGTCTTTAGCTAAGCAAGGAAGCACATGAAGGTTCAAAGTTGTGTGTGAAACGCATAATGAACCTTCTGAAAATGGAGCCATCTCCTGATGGGTCACCTGAGAAATCACCAATATAAAAGAATTGCAGCCACCCAGGGTGGGTGAAGAAATGATGCACTGTACAAGAGAACTGGTGCAAATCTAACTGTAAGTTACCATTTCCTACTCATAATCAGCTCTCTTGTATTGAAGAGGTGTAGCAATTTAAATAATAAAATTTCTGCCTGTGATAAGCAGCACATAAGGAGTAGAGGTAGTTTTGGGTAGTCTTATCTTTAACAACTAGTTTCAATAGCAACTTAGAGATTACTAGTCCTCTTTTAAAGTCCAAGTACATAGCAAGTTTGTGGTATTGTTAATAATCTTTAACAGAAATTATGAAAAAATGAATCTAATTTGTATGTACAGTGGGTGTGGATGTGAAGCATTGACTCATGCTATGCTTGGAATGTTAAAAATGCTCAATTTTGCAAAGTGAGTAAGGGTTGGAACTGCAGGAGAGACGTACGTACCTACGGACGCCCAGTGAGAAATCGGCTACTTTGCTGGTAGGGCAGGTAGGCCACCCCAAGCATGCCTCCAATTTCTCGCAGGCTATCTCTTGTTTACCGGGGTACGTACATCGGTTCCCCTGCCATATATTGAATGTTAAGCATTATATTACTTGTATGCTAGTTGTATTCCTAATACTTTTTACATATTGATGTATTTTGCAATGAATTATTGACTTCAATTTTATTACAAATGTACTTAATTCCACCTACTTAATCTTACTTATACTTCGTCCTTGAATTGTCTGTTTTCCTTGTTCCATATTCATATTGTTACTTTTTTCCTGACAGTAAACTTGTAACAAGTTGTCAGCTCATTTGTAATTATCAATTTTTTCTCCAGATCATAGTAGAGTGCCCTTTGGCCCACATTTGAGGGGAGGATGAAATAAACACTTCACATTAGTAATATTGGTTTTAATTGTTAAAGGCCTTAAAAACACAGAATTAAGTTATCCAAGAGGACTTGACTTTAGATGTATTTTTGTTAAGAATGGTGCTTACCAATCACAAATCATGAATTGAGAGTGCAAGCAATCAGAATAAGATGCTGAGTAGGGCGCGGAAGAAAGATTGGAAGAGGTCCTTGATATATCACAATTTAAGTTGCACGAACAGATGATGCCTCATATTCTCATAGAATGAATGTTTCTTTTTTTAATACAGTTTAGAGGCATCAGAGTTCAACTACCAGATCACAAAAGAAACAGTTCCCGAAGTTTGAGTCAACTTGATTAGCAGCTCACAAACTCTCATTTATCCTTTTCAGCTTCTTTTTTTTCGCCGTTGTGCAGTGCTGCATCTCCATTGACAACCTTTGGCCTCAATCGTTTCTCCAGCACATAGGCATCAGCAGGCTCAATCCTCTTGTAATAACTTTCTTTAGTCTCAACTATTTCAAATCCAAATTTCTGGTAAAATTTGAGAGCACCTTCATTGCATACTTGCACATGGCTGTAAAGGAATTAATGAAAGGGGGAAAATAAAGGGGAAACTGGCAAAAAGTATATGGTTGAAAAATGAACTTACAGATAAATGCTACTGAAATTTCCATCTTGTTCAACAAGATTGTGCACATGATTGAACATGACAGTGCCAATGCCAAGTCTTCGGTAGGGATACAGACAACCAAGTGTCATGATGTAAAGGCGTCGATTTTTTTCAGCTGTGTCCACTCTACAGCAGACAGCACCAACAACTATATCATTGTAGTAGGCTGACAAGGAAATAGAGAAACTCAGTAAAACCAAATTGGATCAAGATGAAGCATTGAAATTACAGAGTGATTAGGGTTCCATACCTAGTTTAGCAAGCTCTCCCGCCTCCAGTACATCACGGTAAAACTTATCGTTGTAAATGACAGGAAATACTACTTGATTTAATTTCCTCAGCTGTTTGAGATTATGAGGTGTTACATCTCCCAATTCAATATTCGACCTTAAGGAAAAGCAAAACATTGGAAGGGCATAAATTAATTGAAGGTAAAATCAATTCAAAGTACTGTTTGACATTTTGCTGTATCAGACAATACAATCAACAAGATTGCTATAAGAGGGAGAGAAACAAGAATACTGCACTGTTGTCATAGTTAAATGAATCCAACGAAGAGCCAAATAAATAATAGGAAACAAACACAATTTGTATAACAAACGGGCAGCAATACCAAGAACTCATAACCTCCAATGCGGCAAAACACGCAGCATAACTGAGGAGTACTCGAAAGTAATAATCCTATACTTTACCTAGTCATGTTTAACGAATTAATTTTGTTGGCTGAGAAGGTAACTTAAGGAGTAAAAATGATTCGGGACGGCGAAATCCCGGTTAAAACGAACGCACGTTCACTGAACTAAACTACCATTCGCACTCGCCCAATGGGAGAATGGGAAATGGGATTGGATGGGGAAATGAGGATCAGGGGAGGGGAGGTGCGGAGCGGAGGGGTAAGGGGTTATTTTCAGATCTTTATGCCGCAGAGGGGGCTGCAAATAATGTGATTGTGGTGATGCACAAGGGAGATATAGGAAAGCCTCCGCCTTCCAGAAATGTGGTGTATCGTTCACTTACTATGTTTACACCGCGGAGGCTAGCCCGTGCTATGTCGGTGGTGGGGGAAGTTGGCCCCGGCGTAAACGGCGCGGGGCCAGCGATGGCTAGCCGCTCGCTGGCACGCGCTAGCCTGCCCCCCTCCACCGCTCTGCTTGGTCTAGCCCCGGAGTAAACGCGTTTCGCCCGGGCTATCTCCGGCTGGACTTTTAAAATACCCGATATTTGTGTATTGCACTTGGCATTTCGGTGTGGCTTTCGTACCCCAACAGGAAATAAATCCCCTATTCGACCCAGAGCCTCAATTCTCACTATCCTCTTCAATATACCTTGATATATCTAAGATACTGTAAATATTTCAAAAATTGTTGCTATCACGTATATCCTATAGATAAATGATGTGAGTAGTAAGCAGTTAAATATTCTACACCCGCTGATTTGCAAACCGTGTACCGGGAGAAGTATTTTACCCTAAAATACTTGGTTTGATCGTCGAGATTTGAAAACCGCGCTCTTTTTCATCAGCTGGCCCACACGGGGTAAACGCACCGCCGCCAGCCCGGGCTAGCGCTGGCCCGGGCCAGCGTTCTACGGCGTAAACATAGTAACTGTCTTCCGCGTGCGGTTCGGCTGCGGCCCTAGAACGTGTCTTGGGAGCTCTTAAAGTTCCCTAAATTTGTTTATTTTCGTTGCACATAGATCAATTGTGAACCATGGCGAAGTTTGATCTGACATTTAAACTTGGACAGTATTTAGACCGTCATTTAGTCTTTCCACTCTTGGAATTTCTATCGGCAAAACAGGTAAGCTGCTCGCCGACACTGTATTTCGACAACTGTTTTACACTTGTAATAGATTACCATCGCATATTGCTGTAAGATTTGTGATTTTTCAATAACGCATGTGCCAAATGACGCCCCGATGACATTTCCACTTCAGTTACATTTAGCGTAATTTCAGCACAACTTCCATACGTCCCTTAACCTCACTTTTATTCAGGTTAAGTTTAGCTGCCATACGCTGACATCTTGGCAATATTACTGTTACTTTTGTATAGAATTTTTTTTCTACGTTTTTTACAATTTCAAATTTTATCTGTATTTGAAATAATGCCAGTTGGTGCATGTATAGTTAGTTTCATGTCATGTTCCATGTCAACGTTGACAGCACACTCATTACGTATGGCTAGTAGTTTGACTGCTGTTTATATGATATTTCTATTACAATTATACTTTGCCTTTCAGATATACAATGAAAATGAACTACTTCAAGCTAAGCTTGATATCTTAAGCAAAACTAACATGATTGATTATGCAATTGACATCAGAAAACAGCTTCTGCCTGGTGAAGAAGACCCAGAAGTATGTATATTTTTTCAACTGACCTCACAATTTATTTTATTATCAGATTTCTATCATAATATATTTTCCACATGTTGTCTACAGGAGTTGAAAAATAGAAGAATCCAGGTTGTAAACCAGCTACAAGAGCTTCAGAAAGAAGTTTCTCACATTGCTAATTTGATGAACGATGAATTAGTTATGAAAAAAATTGAGACAATGCGAGATTCTAAAGCTCTTTTAACATTCTTGCATGATGAGTATGATGTAAGTGACTATTTTAAAATATTTTGGGCACTGAAAATTTCCAGTTGTTAAGAATACTATTACATTCTTACCTCTTTTTAATTTTAGTTCAACATTGAAATGATGGAGAGCATGTACAAGCTAGCAAAGTACCGTTATGAATGTGGAAACTACTCTAATGCCACAGGTTTCTTGTATTTCTACATAAATGTGATGCCAGCTGGTGATAAGGCAAGTGCTGTTGCTCTTTGTTCTTTTGCATTACTTGCTAAACATATACAGGAGAGTACCTAAACAGTTCTGTGCATCTTTATTCACAATATCTCTTCTCTCCTCCAGAATTACATCAATGTTCTGTGGGGAAAGCTTGCATCAGAGATTCTGGTTCAAAACTGGGATACCGCTTTGGATGACTTGAACAAACTGAGAGAGTTCATTGATAGCAACCAGTTCCCATCTTCTCTTCATGTTCTCCAGCAACGGACTTGGCTGATTCACTGGTCATTGTTTGTGTTTTTCAACCATACCAAGGGCCGTGACCTCATTATTGAGATGTTCTTGTACAGGCCACAGTGAGTACTACTTAATTGAATTGCTTTTGTTTTTTGCTGGTTCTTGCACGCTGTAATTATTCTAAATACCTTCCACAGCTACCTCAATGCCATCCAGACCATGTGTCCACACATTTTGAGATACTTGGCTACAGCAGTAATCATCAACCGCACCCGCCGCACTGCACTGAAAGACCTTGTCAAAGTCATTCAACAGGTTTGTTCTCGAAATTAACAGTTAAATATAATCTATGCATCATTTCAAGGTAATGTTCATTTCATATCTATCTGTTCTCAGGAATCCTACACATACAGAGATCCTATCACAGAATTCATTGAGCATTTGTATGTCAACTTTGATTTTGATGGCGCTCGCCAGAAACTTCATGAATGCCAGACTGTGTTGTTCAATGATTTTTTCTTGATTGCCTGTCTAGAAGAGTTTGTTGAAAATGCTAGGCTAATGATCTTTGAAACCTTCTGCCGCATTCACCAGTGCATTAGCATTGGGTGAGTTTTTGACTGTAAAAGTGTTGTGGTCAAGTGCTCACCAAAACAATTTGTAATTTCTGTATAAGTTGTAAAAACATTTATCAGTTATTGTTATGTTTTTCTAGAATGCTTGCTGAGAAGCTCAACATGACCCCTGAAGAAGCAGAGTGCTGGATTGTCCACTTAATCAGAAATGCACGATTGGATGCTAAAATTGATTCAAAGTTAGGGCATGTAGTTATGGGGACCCAGCCTGTCTCACCCTATCAGCAATTGGTGGAAAAGATAGATTCTCTCTCTGTTAGGTCAGAAGCTCTCCAGAGTCTGATAGACCGTAAGCTCAAAACAAGAGCTCAAGATGCTGGCGGCATTCAGTGGTGATCATCAATTTTCTTCTGGTCAGTCATGTAAATGCTAAGCTCGCTGAAGAAATTTTTTCAACTAAACCTCGGATTTTTATTAATTCTTTTTGTTCTTTTTGTTTGTTGCAGGCTCATTTGTTATAGGATCCGTACATCTGTTAAAATTCCTTCCACCCCGTTAATCAATGTTTTGGACTTGTCTAATTTCATCATTTTGTGTAAAAAAACCATCACTGTGCATCTGATATTGTATACTTTCTTGTACTAAAGTATTGCTACATACATTCAATATTCCTACTTATTATTTCCAGAAAACACTCTCACACAGAAAGACATAATGACATACGAGACGGCTCCGATTGTCCGAAGCTCGTTTGTCCGAACCTAATTTATCTATTTTAGTAGATAAAATGAGTAAAGTAGTTAATTACATTATGTTATTTCATTTAGTGGCAGTTGTTGAAATAAGAGCTAAATCAGGTACAGATACCATCAGGAGGGCAAACGTAGTGCCTAACTGCAGTTCCGGGCCTGGAAAAGGGTAAATGAAATAACTTACGCT